AATCAATAATACACTTCTGGATTTTTTTTTTTTTTCAGGAGTCCTATGGTAGAGAGGCTCCATCAGAGTAAAGAAGGTGGTCAGTGTGGAGGAAACTTCAGCCTTATTCCGCATCTTAATCTGAACAAGAAGACTTCTACCGAGGTAAAACCGTGGGAGTGCAGCGCGTGTGGAAAAGTCTTTATGCGCCATTCATCCCTTAATAGGCATAAGAGATCTCACACTTCGCCAAAGCCATACCAGTATCAGGAGTATGGAAAAAAGCCTTATAAATGTAAAGAGTGTGGAAAAGCTTTCAGTTATCTCCAGCCTTTTCAAAAACATGAAAGAAACCACAGCGTAGAGAAATCTTACAAATGCAAGGAATGTGGGAAATCCTTTCGATATCGCCAGTCCGTTCGAAAACACGAAAGGACTCACACCGGAGAGAAGCCCTATCAGTGTAAACAGTGTGGAAAGGCCTTTAGATATCATCAGACCTTTCAGACACATGAAAGGACGCACACGGGGGAGCAGCCCTATCAGTGCAAGCAGTGCGGGAAAGCCCTCAGCTGTCCCAGCTCCTTTCGAAGTCATGAAAGGACTCACACGGGAGAGAAACCTTACGAATGTAAAAAGTGTAGTAAAGCCTTCAGTTGTCCCAGCTCTCTTCGAAAACATGAGAGAACTCACACCGGAGAGAAACCCTATGACTGTAAGGAATGCGGGAAAGCCTTCATTTCTCTCGGGAGCTTTCAAAGACACATGATCACACACACTGGAGTCGGACCTTATAAATGTAAGGAGTGCGGGAAGGCATTCAGCTGTCCCAGTTCGTATCGAATACATGAAAGATCTCACACCGGAGAGAAACCCTACGAATGTAAGCAGTGTGGTAGAGCCTTTAGTTGTTCCAGTTCCTTCCGAACACACGAAAGAACTCACACTGGCGAGAAACCCTATCAGTGTAAAGAATGCGGAAAAGCCTTCCATTGGCTCACCACGTTTCAAGTGCATGTGAGAACTCACACTGGAGAGAAGCCCTATATATGTAAGCTGTGCGGGAAAGCCCTCAGTTGTCCCACGTCCTTCCGAAGACACGAAAGGACTCACACCGCAGAGAAGCCCTATGAATGTAAACAGTGTGGGAAGACCTTCAGCTCTCCTCTGGGTTTGCAAATACACGGGAGAACTCACACTGGCGAGAAACCCTATAAATGTGAGGAATGTGGGAAGGCCTTCGTCTCCCTCACCAGTTTTCGCAGACATATGATGACACACACTGGAGACGGACCTTATAAATGTAAGGAATGTGGGAAAGCCTTCAATTGTCCCAGCTCCTTCCGGATACACGAAAGAACTCACACGGGAGAGAAACCCTATGAATGTAAAATATGCAGTAAAGCCTTCAGTTGTTCAAGTTATGTTCAGGTACATGAAAGAACTCACACGGGAGAGAAACCCTATGAATGTAAGGAATGCGGGAAAGCCTTCATTTATCGTACAACCTTTCGAGGACACATGAGAGTGCACACGGGAGAGAAACCTTATAAATGTAAAGAATGTGGGAAAGCCTTCAGTCGACCCAGTTCGTTTAGAAGCCATGAAAGAATTCACACTGGAGAGAAACTTCTTGAATGTAAACACTGTGGGAAAGCCTTCAATTGGCCCACATCCTTACACAAACATGTGATGAGAATGCACACAAGATAGGTAAATTGTTAACTGAAAAGTACAGGAGAGCGTTCAGTCTTAACAAACGCAGAGTCGTGTAAAAACACCACTGGAGAAAAATGACATAAATGTAAGAAATATGGGAAAGTCTGATGCACATTCAAAGACGGTACTCCGGAGAAGTCACAACATGAAAGAAATGCTTCAGAAGCTGAAGATAATGAATTTTGTTCTGAAACTCAGTCTCTGGACTATAGCTTCTGGTTGTTGCTTTTCAGCTGAACGTTGAGTTGAGACAATTCTGTAAGCATTGTTTAAGCAATAGTACGGAAGCTTAGTAAGTAGTCTTTTTCCTTAAATCAGTTTGTAAAAGTTTTGTCTTTCCATTTTCAAGTCTATTGGATCTATGGGTGAGTTACGGTGTATTTGTAATATGTAAGTATTAATTTTTATATAATTTTTAACTGTTCTGAACGTGAAGGGGCCATGGTATAATGATATTTTGGTATTTGTTGGGATTTTCTTATTGACCTCCCGTCACAGGTACTGGATATTCCTTGTCTATTATAAATATTCCTCCTTTCATATGTGAAGTGGTTTCTGTTTTGTTTGTTTTTTAATCCAAAGAGTCTTTTCTTTCCTGGTTAATAAATTGTAGGCATCAATTTGTAAGTATGCAGAGTTTATCATAGGGTATAATCTCATTGGAATTGCTGTTTACATCTTTCCCCTTGACTCTGTCATTTCTTCCGACTGTGATTTGGAGATTATACTTTAAGAGACCAAAAAAAAAAAAAAATGTAGCATTGGAGATAGCACTCCTGGAATGCGTTAGGTCAACATGGGTAATGTTGGGACCTAATTTTCTAGAATCTGCTCTCTTTATAGTTTCGTGTTAGAATTCACCGGTAGCCTCACTTGCATGAGAGTCGGAAGGCAAAAAAGGAAGAAGGCCTTAGTTTTTGGAATCACGGTACAGACAGTGATCGATACCGTAGGAATTTTGCCTACACCTTCCAGCCTGTTTTGCTGATTCTTTGCCCTGCCCGTCAAGAGTATCTTCAGTACCACCGCCAGCTACTTGACTTCCATTTTCTCAGAGCTGTAGCTTTCCACAGACGCCGCCACGAGGTCTACGACCTGGCAAAGGTTGATGCCGCTTGGATTTTCCCGCAAGCCATCATGTGTCCACCAGACCATCACGGTTGAGAATGTTCTTTAGAGCGCTGACTTCCCTCTTCTCTGGACTGTATTTGTATAGGGTCTAATTTGTGTAGTAAACCCCTCGTTCTGTTAACACTCCTAATTACTGTGTGTTCCCGATTTCACCAGTACAGCTACAACATGCAGCCAAGAGGAACCCCACGGTAACCTATTCCTCTACCGCATTGTACAGTGACTTCTGTGAAAATAAGCCTTTTCGTGTGAAAATAAGCACCTTCTCCTTATCAGGCAGATTGTGGGTGTTTCTGATTACTCACATCTGAACATAAGTCTTCGGTATATTTTCAATTATGTTTTTATGTGATTTAAAACATTTCCTAAAGCTCAAACCACTGTTTCTGTCCATGGTCCTTAAAATTTTTTATTAACTGTTGGATATTAACAAATGTTATCTTCTCCATTTCCTGATAGGATATATTAAAACGTCCCATTGCGATTGTGGCTTTTCAAGTCAACCTGTAATGTTGTCAGCATTATGCATTCCAAGGGTCATTGTGTGCAGACGAGTTCAGATATTTTTTCCTCCAATTTTGTTTTTTATTCTGTAGTCATAATTTTTGTAATTAAATTTCTCGTCCTCCGTTATTGATTCCAAAAATTTGCATCATGGTTTTGTCAGTGCCTTCTTGCCAAAGACTGCCAGGTGACATCTGTGGTCAAAGAGAGAGAGGTGGAATGAATTGTAGTGATAAAGGTGACCACAAAGCACAAATAACAACGGGATTATGTTGGGGCGCCTGGCTGGTTCAGTCAGCGGAGCGCGCCACTCTTGGTCTCGGGGTTGTGAGCTCGAGCCTCACGTTAGGTGTAGAGATTACTTTAAAAAAAATAAAATCTTCTAAAAAAAATGGTGGAGGCAATCAATGCGAAGGTGCTCAAATGGTCTAGGATTTGGACTTGTGAAACTCTTACAGAAATTAATACAATTAAAAGCAGATATTTTTACAGGGGAATTGAGAACAAAGCACACCCACAGACCGAGGGAAGACCCTTGCCCAGAAAAGGCCTTCATGCTGGGCTGAAGAGGCAGTCTTTTCTTTGCTTGGAGCCAGTCTGCACAGAGGTGATGTGGGTGTTTTATCAAATGCCCAAGTTTCCACAAAAGATGATGAGGCATACAAAGAAACTTGGAAACCTGGCCCACTGAAATCAAACCCTCAATCTCCAGAAACCAAGCCTAACAAAACACAGGCCTCAGACTTTAGTAGACAAAGAATTTAAAATAATACGCCTAAAGAGCTTAGAAGGAAAATAAAGTCCAAAGAACAATGGATGAAGAAATTGAGAATATCAAAGAGAAATCATTTTTAAAAATCTGGAGCCCAGGGCACCTGGGGGACTCCGTCGGTTGAGCATCCAACTTCACCTCAGTTAGAGTCCCGCATCGGGCTCACTGCTGTCAGCACGCAGCTTGCTTCGGATGCTTTGTCCCCCTCTCTTTGTCCCCTGCTCACGCTCTCTCAAAAATAAGCCTTGGGGCGCTTGGGTGGCT